GAGTAGCTGGGACTATAGGTGCCCGCCACAGCACCCAGCTATTTTTGTTGTTGTTGCAGTTTGGCTGGGGCTGGGTTTGAACCCACCACCCTCGTATGTGGGGCCAGTGCCCTACTCACTGAGCCACAGGCACCTCCCTGATGTACTCAGTTTTAATGTGAAGCCAGTAGATGATATAATACATACCCTCATAAGAGAAAAACTAAAATCAGAGTGCTGCCTGTTGCTCAAGGAGTAGGCCGCTGGCTCCATATCAGAGGTGGCAAGTTCAAACCCAGCCCTGGTCAAAAACTGAAAAACAAAGAAAGAAAAATTAAAATAATCAGTTCAGGTCAGGGGCAGGGGAACAAGGGAGCAGGGAGAGGGGAGGAAGGAGGAAGAGGTTAAGGTGTATGGCATACCTCTGAGGGGCGGGACACAATTATAAGAGGAACTTTACCTAACAAAAGCAACCAGTGTAACCTAATTTTTGGTACCCTCAATGAATCTGAAACAAATAAATAACCTTATCTTACTGTAACTTTTTTACATCATAAACTTTTTTTTTTTTTGAGACACAGAGTCTCACTATGTCGCCCTCTTCCTCACAGCTTACAGCAACATCAATCTCTTGGGCTCAAGCGATTCTCTTGCTTTAGCCTCCCGAGTAGCTGGGACTACAGATACCCGCCATAACACTTGGCTATTTTTTGGTTGCAATTGTCATTGTTTAGCAGGCTGGGGCTGGGCTTGAACCTGCTAGCCCTGATGTATGTGACCAGCTCCTCTACTCACTGAGCTACAGACGGTGTGTCACCCCGAGGATGTACCACATTTTATCTTTTTTTTTCTTTCTTTTTGCAGTTCTTGGCCGGGCTGGGTTTGAACCTGCCACCTCTGGTATATGGGGCTAGTGCCCTACTCACTGAGCCACAGGCACCACCACCCCCACCCCCCAATTTTTTTTTTCCTGCAGTTTTTGGCCAGGGCTGGGTTTGAAACACCTCTGGCATATGGGGCCGGTGCCCTACTCCTTTGAGCCACAGACACTGCCCCACATTTTATCTTTTTATCCACTCAGTCACTTGGGTTGTTCCCATCTTTGGGTTATTGTGAATAATGCTGCTGTGAACATTGGTGTACAGATATTTAGTTTTAGTCCCAGCTTTCAGCTTTCAGTTTTCTGGTTTTTTTTTTTTTTTTTGGTGACCCTGGGTGGGCTTGAACCAGCTTTTAGTTCTTTTGGATATCTACATAGGAATGACATTGCTTGGTAATACTTTTTCTAACATTTTGAGGGACTTGCCAAACTGTTTTCCACAGCAGGTATACCATTGTATATTCCCACCAGCGGCATACAAGGTTCCACTTTCTCTGCTTCTTTGTTTTCCTTTTTTTTTTTTT